AGCCTGCATGGCAGGCGGTACTTAGGAAATACCGCCTGCCGCAAAACTGGGTGTAAATGAACTACCGCCCCTGAAGCATCAACGCTATTTATAGATGCATTAATTAAGTAAATATTCAAAATTAGCCACTCCCAAGTTGCTCCCAAGTCCCAACTGCCCAACATAAAATAAATTCCTTGATTCTCATCACCGCCCGACTGAATTTTAAAATCCTCGTGAAAACGTTTTATATTTCGTTATACAATATAAATGTACCGCCCGACAAAATAATTCAAGACAGTTAATTTTTTCATATTTTATATAGAGTTTTTATTGCCATTTTAAACTTCCAATTTGAAATAAACAGAATTTTGAGTGAAATTTCATTTGAGTATTTTAAAGAAACTCAGTCATTCTGTCATTGTTCGTGGAGATACGAACTATTGATATATAAATTATATAAATATAAAATATAAAAAATAAATCTCCCACTGTCTTCGACATTTCAAAGTGTAGACTGTGTCTAGTGATGAGAATCAAGGAATTTATTTTATGTGTTAATATAAACCACGCCCGTTTAGCCGTTTAGCTGCCTTAAAACGGTGGTTTAATAAGCTCAAAATACAAAGCATGCAAGTCTATACTATAGATTCATCATCAGTCAACAACCACACTGAAAGTATTGAACCTTATAGAACGATAGTTTTTATTTGTTTACAACTATACATATTCAACGGGTATATAAGAGTTTAACTGTTATTTGATAATTACTGCATCAACCGGCCCCTTGTTTATACTTTGGAGGTTCGTATATATTATAAATATCTATCAAGTATCTTTGGTTCAGAACATGATAGGCCTATATGAAAATCCCACCGTTCGATTCAGTGAAGAAATATCTCCTAATTTCTATCGATAGTTTTAGTAAAATGTCAACATTATTGCGATTTATGGCCTTTGAAAGTCAAGCGAGATCGTATATTATCAAATTAATATACGCATGTATTTGTCTGAAAGAAAATATAGACTAGCCCATACCTTTCGCCGATCATAACTTCGGCCCCTTCGGACGTATCTTCTTTGTTAAATATTCTTGTTCGAATCTCTATCAATAACACTATTTAGAGTGTTATTTTTCAGCTTGTATCTTTTAATTTGCTTCTTTTATTATGTTATTCCATTTCTGGTCTGTCTTGACGTGAACTAATTTCAAAACGCAGAGTTTCAAAACGTCAAAACATTTGGTTAATGATTAACATTTAACCGAATTTAGCCGTTGATTGACAACTACATAAAAATACTAACCAATCCGTTTTTCCCGTTCACCAGCGGACGGGTAATTCAAAAACCCCTAGTTTTGCGGCAGACGGTATTTCCTTTGCCTCCCTAATTTTCGCTTCCTGTAGAAATACCGCCTGCCGCGCAGGCTACTGAGAGATTGGTTTGGTTGAGAGTGGCGGCTAAATAAACTCCAGGGGTCCAGGATCATGTTCCCCCAGAAAATTTTGGAACAAAATGAGACCTCGGTCTAACTACCAGCAACAACTGTTTCAAGCCACATAACCGGCGATTGTGAATATTTAATATGTCATAAACTTTTTCTTTGGAGTGGCTTATCCCCTTTTTTTTACTTTTTTAAAGACTAGATAACCCCTGGCCCCCTAACCCCCCCCCCCCACCCCTCCTGGTTCCACCGGCCATGTTAATCATAATATCACATATGTGATGTAAATGCAGTTTTAGTGGGCACCAGTGGTGGACACACAGTAATTCCAACCTAGCTTCCCCATTGAGCTCCCCTCCACGCACAAGGCCCGCAAAAGAAAAGGCAGCAGACCTCGTCCCTGATTTTACCGGGGGGGAGAAGCACGACTGTCGATGTGTACATTCCTCAATGCCAAATATCATATATCCTGTGGTCAAGACGACAGTGTCAACACAGCAAGCGATCATAGATCGTGAGAAAAGTTTATACTTCTACACTAACTGGCTGCCATGCCTAACTCAGATAATACTGCTCCAATTCAGACGTTCATTTATCCAGTTGGCGACAGCTACACAGGCACATGGGACGACGAGGGCAGAAAACATGGTGTTGGGAAACTAAATTTGACTAATGGCTCGTTCTATGTAGGACAATTTCAACACGGTTTATGCTCTGGTTATGGCGTATTAAAACTACCTGATGGAGCTCGATATGAAGGCGAGTTTATCTACGGTAAATTTCACGGAGTTGGTGTCTACACTCGTACAGATGGAATGAAATTTGAGGGTGAATTTTTCGAAGGAGACGTACGTGGTTTGGGTTTGCTGACTTTTCCTGATGGTACTCATGGTATTCCAAGAAATGAAGGTAGATTTGAAGGAACTAAATTCTTGGGACATGCAAAAGCTGAAACAATCGTAACCAAAGCAAGGGAAGCTGCTGTTAAAGCTTATCAGTGTTCTGATCCTTGATAAAAAGAAATTAGGAACATGCATATTTTTCATAGCAAATCATATTTCGATATTTGCATATTTAATTATTAATATGATTTTGTACATGTTATATTTTAATCAACCTATTAATGTAAATGGGGTGGGGGTTTGGCTTGAACACTAAATAATCTGGCTTGGCTGTCAGGAATTTGAACATCAATGTGATCCCAGAGGGTGGGAAAGGGGGGGGGGGGTGTATGGGTAACGTTTCAGAACGAAAAAAAGAAGCTGTTTTACAATTCACATGTCTTAAAAAAGCAATTTCACATTTCACTAAAAACTGGATTCTAATAAAAATAATATAATAATAATAGGTTTATTAAGAGTATTTTAATGCAAAAATTGGTACAGCAGCCAGGCAGTTAAAAACTACATTGCAATTTACAAGGTTGAGTGATGAGAACGTCCGACAACCTCCAAAATTCGAAAGACGGCTCCGAAGTTTTTACTCTTGTGCAATCAAGTGAGGTCGATTATTATCGCCTATTATGTCTATTATGGCCTCGATTATGGCTATTATAAAATAAATTGAAAAAAAAAAACAAAGCAAAATCACAGTTTACGAAACAGACACCCTTAATTCTCATTTCACAGAGCATTATTATCAACAATGGAATCACGCCTCATTGCTGTAGAACAAATCACATTTCACGACACTAAAATGAAACATTGCACACAAACAAATATCTTCTTTCCCACCCTCATTCCAGTCTTTGCCATACCATTTTTATTTTGTGCCACTTAGGGGCTGTTTACATGAGCCCAGCTGGCCCAGTTAACCAGGCTGAAACTTTACCAAGCCAAATATGGTGGGGGAAAGTTGTTTACTTGTTATAATACTGTAAGGTTTGTCACGCAAGTTAAATGCACATTTTATAGAGCTATTTTTCGATTTAAAACTATCTAATCGACAAGAACAACTTAAGAAATAAATATTATAACTATTTAAATTGTCCAAAAAAATACTAATTCAAATTGATATTGTAGTTTGTACAGATGTTTTTTTGCCAGACGATTACCCAGGCTGATGACTTTACATGGGAGTCCCTTTTCCAAGTCCAAGCGAGATCTCGGCTAGGCGGGCTGGCCTGGTTTACATGTAAACTAAAATTGTTTTCTTAAGGGATTTGTACTAAGCCAGGCGCCTCAGTTAACCAGGCCAGCCAGGCTCACGTAAACATGCAGCCCCTTAGTGCTTTTTAAAATTTTTTTTTATTGTTTTAAATTTTTTTCACTATTCGAACATGGTTTTGCAAAACCATATTGAAACTGTAATGGCATTGAGTTGCTTAACCCAATCAGAGCCAGCAAACTCCCCTCTGGCTAATTAGACAAATTAAGTTGCATTGCACCCCAATGTGCCCTAGCTACTTTATTATTTTACTCTGTCTAAACACCAGATGATTTTTCTCCTCAGGGGCATGGGTTAATTTATTCAGAAATAATGGCACTCCATATCATATTTAAAAATAGGTACGCTAAGCGTACATGTATCTGCTCATATTAATACTCAGTAGCTTGTAAAAATAAACTAGAAATACTTGCATGCAATAACCCCTCGCTTATATTCTCCAAACATTGTTTCAACATGAAGTATATTCGTGATTACGCCAACATTGAACGCAAGCTCGCGTTGCACGTCATGTTTGTCATGGCAACACGATAATTTTAAAAAATTTTTTTGGTACAAACGTCAAACCTGCAAAAAGTAGATGAAATTGAACACTTTTAAGTACAGAACTATCAATTTCTATTTTCTAAAATACATAAAGTAGGTATATTATTTTGGTTTCTATGCCTATGGGCTTTATTTTAATGTAAAATTCGAAACGAAACTACGTATTAAAAAGTGACCCAGTGTGAATCTCTCAATTTTTCTGCGCCGAAGATTTTTCGAATTCATGTACTGAGCTGCGCCAAAACCTGCGCCAAAACCTGCGCCAAGAAAATTGTCGCGAAAAAATATGCGGTTTTCGGAAATGTCCGAAATTTTCACCGAATTTTCGAAATTTGGCTTTTCATTCTTCTCAAATCATAATTTCAAATATACTATTACATAAATGCTCAATTGCTTCACCAAATCTTTGCCAAATTGATCTTTGGGATCATTCTGCGCCAAATTGTTGCGCCAAATCAACATTTGCGATCAATCTGCGCCAAAAATGTGCGCCAAACTTTGTTCGAGTCGCTGTTCTGCGCCGAAGATCTTTCGGAAATACACCCTCAAATTCACTCTTGTTAAAAACGTTTTTAAATGTGAATTGAATTTTAACGGCTTTTTGCCGGTATTATTAAATCTCTTCAACTTATTACTCGCACTTTGAAATGAAATAAATTTAATTCGTACAGGACGCTAATGAAAATATGCTTTCCTTTTTATCATGAACTTCTACAAAAATTATTTAAGAAACTTTCGCATACAATGTATAGGAAAGACTTGAACAACAAGGACCAACAAGAACAAAATCTATATTAATACAAAGTCATGCATACATAAACAATTGAAACATGCAAACTTGCCCTATACTTTAAAATTTATCATACTAAATCAATTCTTAGTTAATGTTTACCTTTATAAAAAAAGATTGTGAAGAAAAGTTTTACAATTTGTTATGTGAAACGATTTTCCAAGCTTTTTTACATATATTTTTTAAATTTTCCCGTTCTTCACTCCTGGCAAACAGCCATATTTTGAGATCAGTGAGATGACCACCCATCATTGAGCCACCCATACACCCATGAACCGCGCCCGCGATATTTGATGAACTTTAGACTTCGCTAGTGCGATCCTTTTCCCGGGTGTAAATAGCCGGGGGGAATTAGTACCCTCGCACGGCACTTCGCGCCGTCGGCTCGGGGATTAAGAGACTGATGTTTAAATGAATATATTTTTTCTATAAACATCACAAATATATATTATACACTGACACTGTTGACTAGTTAAATGATCGAGGTTAGATAGATACAGAGTTTGTACATGTGAGGAAGAGTCATATTCAAGACCATGTATCAGCAAATTCAAGGAATAAATACTGAAGAAAAGGGGTATAGAAATCAGTAAAATCTGACGTTGTCGTTGAATTGTTCAAAACGCGTTTCAAAACGAGTTTCGAACAGCTTTGTCAGACAGTTTTTTTTTATACATTTTTGGTGTTAAAAGAACATACATATGCATTATATTATTCCACATTTTGAGCAAAATTTGTCGTCTTTGGCACCAGAACAGTCACACACTGAGCAAAATATTTTGGTAAATTTCCTTTTACTTTCAACAAACAAACACTAGATCTACACGCGTAAAAACGCTCAGGTTGATGCAAGTTGTCAACAAGTTGCTGCAAGTTGGTTCTGAACAGGATGCAGCAATGTTGTGCGGCCCACTTGCAGCAATGTTGTTAACAATATTGTTCACGCTTGTTCGAACAATGTTGTTAACGCCTGATGAATGAACAATTAAGGCCTGAACAATGTTGTTCTGACAACATTTATCAAACATGTTTCATCAACCTTGTCGGACGCTTGTTCCATCATGTTGCAACAACCATTGTTCGTTCATTAAGCATGAACAAGTTGTTGGAACAATGTTGTTAACGATTGTCGCTTGAACAACGTTCAGCCATGATAACAACATTGTTCAGGCATTGTTCAATGAACAACGCCGAACAACCTGATCAATTCAGTTTTACGCGTGTAGGTTCACTGCGCTACAAGAATGGCGGGAATGCGCGGGATCTCCAACCACGAGTTACATTATAAACTAACTTTATTTTGCCGTGACTTTTTATTTTGCCCAGAGTTAATTTCGTTTTGCCGTGAGTTAACTTTATTTTCCCGTGAGTTTATTTTGTTTTGCCGTTGCAGTTAATTTTATTTTGCCGTGGCTCAGTTACTTTCAGGCCACATTTATATTCTATAGCGCCTGGGGACGAGGTAGCTCGACAATTACCCAAAACTCTTTTTCCCCAACTTTTTTAACTTTCAAATAGTTTATTAGACATTTATCTTAAATATTCCAACTGCAGTACGAATAGCAAATCAAACAATAGTTCTGGGTCTTGACTTATACAGTGTTCCGAGTTTACAGTATTAAAACATTTATACAAATGGGGGGGGAGGGGTTGTATACATTTTTCAGTATTTTATAGGGGGGATTTTCAACATTTAGATCATCAAGGGGGGGAGGGCTACGAGATTTTGTATATGATACCGGGTGGCCCAAAAAAAAGTACTCCTGTTTGATTCGTAATAACTTCTAAACAAGTAAAGTTTTTAAAGAGAAATAACTTGCATTAAATAGAGGAAGGACTAACTTAGATTTTGATATATTACAGTTGTATTTAACTTAAAAATTCACGGAGATATTAATGTTAAAAATGGGGAGCATATTTTGGAATGTGTCTAAAATTAGCGAAAATCGGTATATCAAATATTAACTCCAGCGTTTGTTTGCTTAATGACATATTAGGCTAACTTGTATTTCAGCGAATTATCGTTAAGGTTTGTAAGGGATATGGCGTAGATTTAGACATCTTACATGTAAGTCTTAGCTCATTGTTTCCTGAAATATGAACGTTCGAAATTATGCAAGTATTTAACATTAGGTCTTTGCAAACTTAAATGTACATGAAAGACTGACCATGGAAGGCAGGCGCTTAAATTTTTCGTATTCTTAAATACGGTAGCCTAATTTTTTTATGTTTTTAATGGGTTCAAACAGACTGAGTAGATTATTTCTCGGTTAGAGCAGGATGAATATTCTTTATTGAAGGAAATAATATTGCTTTTTGCAAATACACATCACTGTATCAACGCTACTATTTTGTTACGTTTTGTTCCAAAAATGTTGCATGTCTCTGGGGAGTTGCTTAATTGTTATGTCTTATGGAGTTGTATGGTTTGATTGAGTTTCATATAATTCTCAGTTTACTCCATGAACTTGCCAAGATTAAGAAACGGCAAAAGAGTTTGGGTGTTCTTAACAAGATTTCAGAACGTTGCAGAAGTTAGTAGAGCTTCACAATTCCGTTGTGACAGCATGCCCTAATTCAGAACTACGAACGATCCAATGACGATCCTTCGCGATGCAGTGGTCTCATGAAATAAGGAACGTATTCGTGCTAGGAACACACGCGAATTTCGGACGAATGAA